TAAACGACATAAACATTATGAGTTCTCTTTACTGTGACTCTGAATAAATCCATGTTCCTACATGAAGTCAGGTAAAGAGCAGCCCTTACCTTTTCTCTTCTGGGCTGGCTTTGCAATATCTTCGTTTCTGCTTCCCTGCTTATGAAGTATATGAAAAACATTAACTACTAAACGTAATTTAACGACACGCTTTTTTAAAAAAAATATCTCACCGTTTTCTCCTTTTGTTTGACTTTTTCACCTTCTTTCCGTTTCATTTTCAAACTTGCAGCTCGGTTGGACCCTCGTAAAGATTCCATAACTCCAAGGAGAAGTCTGTTTGTTTTAAGTAAAAATGTAAATTACGTCCGCTCCATGTCAGCTGGGGTTTGCTCTTCCCGCTTCTTCCTCCTCCAACCGCTGATCACCAATATGCGCATGCGCACATCCGACATAGAGATTTGGCAAGCGATTTGAATAACGCTTATTTAATATTTTTTTAAAAATTAAAAATATCCAAAACTGCACTTCGGGAGGTATCGTCGCTCAAAAAGGAGAGAAAAAAATATAACAAAAATGTACGTAATTTTGTACTGTTACAACAACTGTGCCACAAGACCAAAAGGGTAAATATGTTCAAAGACTCAAATTTATTAACAATAATAAAAATAATAACAATATAACTGAATGTTTCCTTTTGTCTTACAGTTTTTTAAATTCTATCCGGGAAGAAAAATTTTCCTGTAAAGCGTCCGTGGCTCTTCAGGTCAAAGGGGCTGAGCACCTTCCTGATACCCAACATGTTGCCTGTGGCTATCCGTTTAAATGTCCAAGGATTCTGGTTGTTCTGCACCATTTCAGCATACTTGTTTTGCATCTCTGCTAAGCTCTCTCTGCTCATAACCTGAAAATCAAAAATACAAGACAATTTCGTGTCAATATACAGTATATGATGATCAAGAAACAGAAAACCATGTTGTAAATACAACATTTGTCATGTTTTACCTCAGCAGNNNNAGGAAAGGGTAGTTTCTTGGCCAGTTGAGTCAAGACCGGCTCAACCTCCCCAAGCTCCACCTTCCCTCCCACTTCCAGGATCAAACGTCCATAGCGAACAGGGGTCACGTAATGGTCAATCGCTCCTTTTCCTCCACCCATGCGCTGACCCAGACCCTTACGAGTAATGGGTTTATATGGAGCATTGATGCGCCAGCGTGCAAATGTAGTGCTGTAATCAAGCTTGCGGCTTAGAGTCAAACGCATCATCTCTATGTGACCCCAATGTATGTAGCCACCTCCCATGGCCTGGAGAGTGAAGTACAGAAGAGACAAAGTTAAGTATTAGATTTTAAATGACTTTTGTTTAATTCAATTATTAACTCACACCTAATTCTGTCTGGGAAATACAATTGTATTTTAGTTGATGTAAATACAGTATATACACACCACAATGGCATACTGTCCCACTGTGAAGGTGTTTGCTGTCTTCGCTGGGCCTTGGATATCATACAGATTCTTCATTTGTTTCTTGGGCTTTTTTAAGTTTGGCACCTTATTCAGGAACTTCAGTTTCCCTTTTTTTGGTAGAGTGACATCTGCAAATATAAACAACAACTTTTAGGTGCATCAGAACATGGCTAACTATAATGGTCTGTCAGCTTAGCCTAAAACAAAAGTAGAATTCCTGATGCTACAAATTTATGGACTCATAAATGTTTCATAAACGCAAGTAAAGGACATTGATTATTACCACTGAAGTCTGGAGGGATGTCATACGTTTTGAACCCAGCAGCCAGGACTTTCAAGTGACCTAACAACGGTCCTGTGGAATGTAAGAGAGAAAATATGATCAGAGTTAAAAACAATCCACTAAATAAAAAACAATTTAGCTTGTCAGACTGTTTTTTTAAACAAGTTTATCGTTACCTTGTCTTTGTCCGGAGAATATACAAACTGCAGTGAGTCCACCGACGGCCGACTTCATTAAAGAAATCATGACGTTTAACTTTCGCAGACAAGAACCGGTAAACACAAGATTTATTGCGTGATTTTACTATCTGTCTACATTAATATAAAATCCGCATTAGCAACAAGGTCGCAGCCATCGTGAGTCTTACAAACACTCGAACCGGAAGTTAAACGAAACATTTCCTGTTTCTCGTAAACGTAATTCTGTTCCATTCTGTGAGACAGTAAAACATTTTTTTAAAAGCTATCTACTCAGAAAAATAATTGTTTTATAACATACTTTGGCATATTAATACATAAAGAAATACGTTTTTTTACATGGATACTTTTCTTTTAGTCTTGACTTATGACATGACTTAATGCCATGTGACATCTAACTTGTCATGTCAATAATTACATATGTAATACATATGTTACATATGTATACAATGTGAAACGGCTCAGAAAAACCAACAAAATCTGATAATACATTTTTAAAGTTTTTTTTATAATGTCACATTAACATACAATTCCCATTATACACTAAAAGTAGCAATACATGCAAACCGATGAGATTTAGAGCTACAGAGGATTAAGATAACTATGACATCCAACCTTTATTTTCGGTGGTTTAAAAAGAGACATCCAACCTTTATTTTCGGTGGTTTGCCCTAAAAAGCTGCAAAAACAAATCTCAACAGTTTTTGTAAAATATAAAACTTTATTATCAAAGTCAAACATGAACAATAAATAAATTATGTTTTGAATATAAACCTTTTTTTCCAATGAGATCAAGTGGAAATGAAAAAAAAAGTTTAGCCTAAATTCCATGGTAAAGAAGGTCATATTTGGTTATGTTCCGAGGATCAATGGGACTCTGGACAATCATTTTACCCCGCATGGCTCCTCTGTATATGACCTCTATCAGATCCATGAAATCCTGCTTTGTCTTAAAGCTGCCAACAAATTTAGTGTGATCTGGAGAGCTGGAAATCAAAAGAGAAGAATTATGACCAACATTTAATGGACAACAAGACAAGAAATGCTTTGTTATTTTCAGATGCAGCCAGATGGATGTATTTGAAGAAGGTTGTTCGTCAGGCAATTATTAATACCAATTGCCTGTGTTGTTCTTCCTGTGAATATGTTTTGATTTTTGATATTTAAACTGAAATACTATCGATATGACCCACCCATAATCCACTTTCATGTGCTGCCCGTTGAAGAAGAAAACGGTGGAGGGGATGTAACTGATGTCGAAGTATCTCGTGTAGACTGGAGCCTTATCTACGTCCACAATGTAGATCGACGCCATGTTGCTCAGGTCGTGAGCACTTTTTGACAACTGAAAGAAAAATAAATGTCATAACCAAAAACATTAAGTAAAGAATATTGACAAGTTCGGTCAGTTTCGGTGCCGCTTACGATCTCATCGAGCTGGAGACAAACGGAGTCTTCATCTCTACCAAATCGAAGAACTACTACCTTCTCCGCCACACCTTTTATAACTTCATCGATATCTTTTTTGCATGTCAATTTCGGCAGAAACAGGCTCATTTTCTCTAGCAGTGTATCCAGCTATCAAAAGACGGAAATGACTTCATGGTGCAACACAATAAAAGCCACCCGAAAACTGCGGTTAATAAACAACGAGTACATTTTTAAAAAATGTTCCCGTAGTTTGTGCTCTTATATGGAGAGGTGTAATAATAGAAAAATAAATACATAAATAAAATTGGAACAATATGGTACCGAATTGGGCGGAGAAAACAATACACGAAACAAATACGCAGAACCATTTATTTTGACTTGTTTTGGTGGGACACCGTTCGGTATCGTGACCTTCCTCTAAAGAAGCATGGACGAAGGGAGAAGTGATGTTAAGTTTGGTTATTTTAAAGGCACTCAGTAGTTTTTTTCTTGGTTGTGTTTAAATTGTAATTTTGTCGTAAATTCCCTCCATCGTTTACGTCTTAGCTGTTGTTTATGTCACGATGTTACGACTCTTCACCGCTAGTGATTTTCATGGCGTTTACAGATGTTGGGGGGTTTTGACATCCACGGTTGTAAAGAGGCAGCTCACAACTTTTCTCCGAGTCCGTCATCATACAGCACCCGCCCTGACTCGCCCCTACACCGAAGGTCCAGTGTGGAGGGATGCTCCTCACCTCAAAGAAACAAATATCGAGGAAGAAGAACCTACAGATTTGGACAAGTGGAAATCCGTAATGAGATCGAAAGCTGCAACAGAACTCAGACAGCAAGGCCTCGAAGAAGAGGCTGCAAGTGAATTAAAAGATGACAATCTCACGGTACCAGGATGGACCTCGAAGCATGGTTCGTCACTGCAGGCCACTCGTGATCTGGTGATGATGTGGCGGCAAGCTGGAAAATTAGTACCTCAAGAGATCTCTGATGTGGACTTGGAAGAATTAGCCAAACGTCCCAGTAAATCTGCCTGGGTGAAATACCTGAAATACCTGGCAATAAAGGAGCGCAACAAAAAGGCTAAAAAGGAGAAGCGAAGTCTTGTAAAGCAGCAGAGAGAAGCCATGCTGGAGGAAAAGAAGGACGAGGAGAAGGAACTGAAAAACACAATGTTCCTTATGCACTGGTCACGCACTGAGGACACACTGCTGGCCTGGAGGTCGGCCCAGGCCATGGTGTTTGATCAGCCACTGGTTTTCGACATGAGCTACGACTCCAGCATGTCCAGACGTGAGCTGGAGAACACGGTGTCCCAGCTGATGGCCACAGAAGGGTGGAACCGACGTGCCAAGGAACCCTTCCACCTTCATTACTGCAACCTACAGCCAGGTGGAGCCTATGAAACAGAGCTGATTAAAAGATATGGAAAAGAATCCTGGGAGCGCCTGCTCATCACCAGCTCCCACCATCAGCATGTCCACCTGTTTGACCATAAAAGCCTAGTCTACCTGACCCCAGACTCCCGCAACGTCCTCCACACCTTCGACCCCTCAAAGGTCTATATCATTGGAGCCATGGTAGATAAGTGCATCAAGCCCGGCTTGTCACTGGCCAATGCCAAGCGTCTTAATCTGACCACCGCCCGCTTACCACTGAATGAGTTCCTTCGTTGGGAGCTGGGATCCAAAAATCTGACTCTTGACCAGATGATCCAGATCATGCTAACTGTCAAGGAGACAGGGAAATGGGAGGAGGCCCTGAAGTTTGTGCCCACGAGAAAACACCAGGGTTTTTTTGATGGATGTGACAGAAGAAGAGGAGTCTCAGATCAAGGTCTGAAGAAGGACACATCTCTGAGCATCAAGGGACTAAATACAAAGAGGATGTTTAAAAATAAGGACCAAAGTTTCAACATGTCTCCAGATGGAGACGGCACTAAGGGTGGGTCCAGAGACAGAAAGACAAAACCTGCTGTAACTGGAGTACGAGTGTCATTTAAAAGTAGCCAAGAGAAGAACAGAAAGCCGGGCAAAGTAAAATTGTGGTGAAAGATTCAGTGAAGATGTTACAGAGTTTCTGTTTTCTGTGTTTGCATGACTGGAGCAACATTTGGCTTTAAATGGTTTCATACCATGAACATAGACATCTGTAAATAATAATAAACAAAGACTAATGAAACAAAAGATGGATATTATACAGCTTAAAGTGTCTTCTTGATGTTGTCAAACTTAGTAGGAAGACTGTAAATTACAAACTGTCTTAATTTGTTATACAATTATTTAATATATAGATATGATGATCGTAATGAACTGCAAAAGATTTCACAAACAAATCAAACTTCATAACATTTATTTTTTTCCCCCTTTGTAACAAATTCAAACTGTGATACAGAGGAAGAAGTTTGCACTGACATCAAATCTTTTTTCAATAAAGTTGGCATATACAGTACCTTGAGTTAATGTTGGTGCGTATGCAAAATATTAAAAACCTGCCATATTCAAGTCACATTAGCTCCAAGGGTAATGCTCAAAACTGCATTTGCACAATTTCTCTCTGGATAAAAGACTATTAAAAAAATAAAGCAATAACCAAAAAAATCATTCAATAAATAACTGTGTTCATTTACGATGTAACACTGATTCTTGACCTCACCAGGCTGCGGTGACCCAGAAATGCAACGGACATTTTCCCTGAATATAAAGTAAAGAAAAAGTGAAATCAGAAAATAAAAAATGTGAAGAAATTTTGATCAGAGCAGAGGTGAAGATTTTTCTAACATCCTCCAGCAGAGGTCAGCAGAGGTCCTTGAGGGGAGTTCCTCCTCAAACCCTGTCTTTTTCATTCCTATGGTTTCTCTCGTCCTCCTCTACAGAACCAGGATTTCTCCTGTGCAGTGCTCGCAGCAGTTGAAGGTTATGTTCTCGTAGCGTGTGTAGGGATGAAACCTGCCGATGCTCTTCTTATTGTTGGGAAAAGTGGACTGCGGGCTGTCACTGAGAGCAGCTGTGGATTTGTTTTCTGGAGAGGAAATTGGATCCAGACTCTTCAGCACCTAAAATGGAAGAAGAGAATTCAGATGAGTGAACTCCTGGTTTTCATGAAAAAAAGTGCTGAGGTCTGGCGGTTTTACTTTTATAGCCATCTTCTCTGCAGGAGTGCTGCACAGCTGTTCAGCTGCCACGCTGCTGCTCTTCACTGTATTGCTGCTGATGCTGGTGGAGGTGGCGAGGTTGGCGGTGGTAGTGCTCGAGTTGCCCAGCAGGTGGGAGTTGATAGCCACTGCTAGCTTGTGATTGGCTGCTGCTAGCTCTTTGGTAGTGAGGGGTTGAGCACTGGGGTAGTAGGTCTGCTGTCTGCCCCACTGCAGCGACACCAGGAGCTGCTCCAGAGACCTGGAAATAAAGACCAACAGCAGAACACGGACTTTGGTGTTTAGATCTTGAGCTGAAGTGTTTTACACAGAACATCTTCCATTGATGTTAGCTTGTACAGACATTTTAAATGATTTATCTGTCTTTTCTCTAGATAAAGAAAAAAAACAAGTTCTTACCTGTGTGTGAGGAACATGTCCCTGGAGAACTCGTCTCTCTCCAGCAGTAGATCCTGAATGGCTCCCTGAGCTTCTCTGGTTTGTCTCTGTAAAGCTGCCCGTGCATTTGTCAGCTCTTCAGCCATGACTCTGAGAACAGGTCAATATTTCATTAGTTAATTACAACAGCACCAATTAACCACCTGTGATCTGAGGAGTTTATCCCATTAGTCCTTACAGAAGAACAGGAGACAGAAGCAGCTGTGTTTTACCTGCTGGCCAAAAACTTGCTTCTCCAAACATCACACTGGATACTCATTCGCTCCAGCTGCTCTGCAGTATGTGCCAGACTGGAGCCCAGAGCTTCATTTTCCAATATCAGCTGGTTCTTCTCCCGAGAAAGACGTTCAAAGTGGTACTGAAGGTCATCGCCCACCGATGCCACCAGAAGTTTCTTTAACTCACGGTTTACCTGCAAACAGCAAAAAAGGAACGACATTTTTTAACACCAACACTGACACATTAGTCGCATAATGAACACATTATTCTTAAACAATTGAAACAACTCACCTCTGTCTGCACACGCAGCTGGTTGGAAAGTCCTTCCTTGTCCTGCAGCAGCCTGCGTTCTGAGTTCTGTAACTTGTCCAGCTGTCTTCTCCAGTCGTCCACTGGAGAGACCTGAAGAGAGCCCTGCTCTTCAGACTGTTGCCCTGATTCCCCCTTTGATTCGGCAATCCCTGCATGGCTGCACCTGCTAATGGCAGCACGCGGCACGATGATTCTCACAGCCTCTACTTCTGTGCAGGCCTCGCGACTCACTTTGCCGAGGTGTAGCACCCCGTGAGGCTGTGGTGAAGCAGGACGGATGGATTTGGGGCTGCATTTGGGGGTCGTCACCTTCACAGTGGAGACTTCAGATGGACAGTGAAGAAGTGAATCTGAGATCAAAAGCGGTTTCTCAGTTTCCATGCCATCGCCAGGTCCCCTGATCGGAGGTTTTGCAGAACCTGTAAAAAAGTAAAAAAGTCCATAATCACTAAAAAAGAAAACTATTTCGTGGTGGTTAAGTGGTCTAACGGGAAACGAGAAGGCATTTTATTGACAACCTCAATCACCTGATGTTCTAAAGTAAAGGAGAGTTGCACAGTTTATTAATATTAACTAAATGTTAAATAATTAAATTTATTTTTTAAAACTCTTAGAAACTTCAATTTTATATTAAATTACGTTTTTTCAGATAACAACACTGAGCTGGTCCAAGTGTGATAAATAAACAGATTATAATTGATTACATTAAAGGGGCAACTAAGACTGAACAGATGGCGTATCTATTATACAGACTACGGCCAGTGGTGCGTTTACGATAATTCGAAAAACACTGATCTAGACAATTGATCGAATTAATCAATGAAGTTAAACGTTGTGTTACTTACGATGCATTTTTAATATTGACAACACAGATACTAACAAGGAGTTTGTTGTTATCGGTTTCCGATGTATCGTCTATTATCCTTTATCTGAGTACAAACCTCTCGCAGCAGCAGTCATGGTGGAGAAGAAGAAACCCGTTGTAGTCAGAATAAATCTCTACTGACTCTTCTTCCTGTGACCATGAACACAGAAAATGTGATAAATACGTATAAATGTCGGTGTTTTACAGCTGTATGTGTGGCGTTATTAAAGATTAAAATGTTATTATCCACTTAATGTGAGTTCTAGCTCATTTGAACGTTCACTTTCTCACAAATGACACGGAAATAGACTAGAAGAATAAAGCCTTCTAATTACCTGTAAAGCTTGATGTTAAGTCCACTAATTATCTAGGAAAACATACCGAGATTTATGGATCCGGTTTCCTGGTAGGGAAAAAAAGAGTCCCCTTTTTCACTCGAGCTGCGACTTTGTTTTTCACCGGATACAGTTGGCCTCTGCCTCCCAGGGAGCTCTTCTTTTACTGGTTTATTTTTACAGCACGCAACCGGTGCAGAGGTGCATCACTGCCATCTAGTGGGCTAGGTAGGCAACGTTACCAGGTCGCATCCATCCCAAAGGGGTTGGCAATTACTGGTTGACACGGCAAGAATCCTGAAAAAGCTGGACATGTCTTTGCATTAAATGCTGCATAAAATACTGCTGTGAGTGCATTTTTCGGCACGGGTGGGAAGATGTAGTTGTTTGTTTCTCCCCGGGCAACTCTGAGAGCGGAACGTTTCAGTGTATTATAAAAAAGTACGGACGCATTTAATGTGACAACAAACACTGTCGTTACCGCAGCTGGTGGTATCAATGGATATCACGCCGAGTTTATATTGATGTTAAGATTATTTTATTTAAAAAGTATATATATATTGGTCTGATATTGTTAGTATGTGTAATTTATAATCGTTCAGAGTTGTTTTTTGGCAACATCTCCGGTAACTTTCGTAACAGCTGCCATGGGAGTTCATGGACTGTGGAGACTGCTGGAGAGCACAGGGAAGCCCATCAACCCCGAGACACTGGAGGGAAAGATTCTCGCTGTTGGTATCCTGTCTTCTGTTTGTTATTCTGTGATTTTACATGTCTTTATTACAGCAACGATGTTATGAAAATCAACGTAGTTACTTTGAAAGACGTGTTCCATGAAAATGACGGTTAAAAAAAACTTTTTGGAAACAACATTCAATACCTATTAAGAAAAGTCATATGAATGATCTGAAAAGTTAAAATGCTGCTGCTGTTGTTGTGATGGTCGACATAACCGTGTTACTACATTGTTTCAACAGTTTACAAAGTAGAGTATTTTTAGATTAAATGTCTTCGAAGTTTAGTCACATAATGGCAGCTGTGTGTCTACACTTAAACCGAAGTTTTAACCTTAATCAGACGCTTCCAGACATTAGCATATGGCTGAATCAGGCCGTGAAGGGTGTAAGGGATCGTGAAGGCAACAGTGTACAGAACGCCCACCTCCTCACTCTCTTCCACCGCATCTGTAAACTGCTGTTTTTCCGCATCCGTCCGGTCTTCGTGTTTGACGGAGACGCGCCGCTGCTGAAGAAACAGACTCTGGTAAGTTGTTATATAATCCTGTGATTCCGCGCCACATTATTGTGTCATGAGAGCTGAGCAGAGGTACATAGAAAATGATCACTTTTACCAGAATTGGTCTTAAACAATTCATTTAATTTACTGTAAAAACGTGTCTTCATTCATTAATATATATTCTGCCTTTGAAAATAACTGAGCGTGTGTTTGTATATTTTTGTGACATTTCTCTCTAATGTGAAAAGACTCTGAGGAGGCAGAGGAAGGAGGAGCTGAGTCGAGAGTCCAAGCAGACCAATGAGAAAATCCTCAAGACTTTCCTGAAGAGACAGGCGATCAAAGCCGCCCTAGGAGACCGAAGGTAAGAATGGGAATGATTTCACAACTGCAGAGATTTTTTTTGATTAATAAATAAATAAAAACAAACAAAAGTTTTCATAAATGTTGTAGTCACCACAATCCTGACTTTACTTTTGGTTTCTGTCATATGATCTTCCTGCAGCAGCGCTCCTGTCCCGAGCCTCTCCAGTGTAAAGAACAACGAGGAGGATGACATGTACGTCCTCCCCGCTCTCCCCCCGGGGGAGAAGGACGAGAGCAGATCAGAGGCCGAGGAAAGGTTCGTCGTTCTGTCATCTACAGACATTCCTGTTTTGATCCTAAGGTTTTTAAATTCAAATGTGAAGAATGAAACCAGTGACTTCACTCCATCGTAACATGCATTTGTCAGCAAGTACTTTTTTCCATGTATATATTTGTGTATTTACTTTGATACATGCAGTTGAGTCCTGGTACTTTTGGTTAATTTTACTGCTGTTCTTTTATCAGTTCTGAGGAAGAAGAAAGGAGAGCGGGCCAGAGGTCAAACAGTCATCACATCTGTCAGGTAAACCATCGTAGACACATACATCCAAACAACACTCCAGTTTTAGTCCATTAGTCTCAGCCCTAACCAGAAGGCTGTGTTAATTAGAGGCCGTTTGGTGAAACAAAATGTCCCTTTGTTTTTGTTTGTTACTACTTTTACACATTTAAAACCACTTGATGCTTATTTCTACTATATTCTTTAATTTCATTATTAACCAATGAACAATGAAATTGATGTCTCAGACTGGTCACTCTTGTGTTTCAGGATGACTTTTATGACAACCCCAACTCCGTTGATATCAACTCTGAGGACTTTTTCAGTCTGTCTCCAGAGATCAGACATGAGATTCTCAAAGACATGAAGGAGTTTTGCAAACGGCGTCGAGTCATGTACCACCCACCACCAGAGGTCAGCCTCTTCATTCACACTTCCTTAGTGAAGGAATCGTCTCCTGCTGACACACATCCCACTGCGTTCCCTTTCAGAATTCTGGAGACTTCTCCCAGTACCAGTTGGCCGGTCTGCTCCAGAGGAACCAGCTGAACCAGCGTCTGGAGGGTGTGGAGAAAGAGATGACGGAGCGCAGCATGGGCAGCACTTCACAGCTGTACCAACAGAACGGCCAGGATCACAGCGTGGAGTCACGGCGGCTGGTTTCAGAAGATAATTCACACTATATCCTCATTAAAGGTGAGGACGGCCGAGTTCGTGGACACGTCCTCGTATCCATGACACAGGGCAGGGGTCACCAACGTGGTGCCCCCTAAGGTGTCCGTGGGGTACATTCTACAAATAAAACTAGTCAACAATTGAACTGTTCCTGTGCTTTTTGAATCAGTTCCACCTGCAGTGATATTCAAATGGATGACGATGGTAGGAACAGTGTCGACGACTGTTTGACTGAGTGAAGTAGCGCAGCACTTGGTTTAGAGTTTTTCAGATTTTCAGGCCTGGATGTCTGTCTTTTCTGCTCAGGCTCCACCAAGAACACCAAAGCCCCTGAGAACCAACCAGTATCCACACCCTGGTCTGGGGACTCTCTGTCAGGCTGGGGGAAAAGAGCCAGGGGCCGACCTGAGCCTCTGTGGCTCCCTGTGTGTGATGAAGACAAAGAAGAGCCGAGTACTTCGAAGGACTCCAAATGTCTGTCACCAAAACCCTCTGAGGACATCGTCGCTCTTCAGTCGTCCAGGGCAGATCCATCTGTCCTGACTGAGGGCTCGGAGCAGATCGTCCCAGTGGACGGTAGTGTGTCTCCACGCACTCTCCACGCCATCCAGAGATGTTTGGATGAAGAGGAAGACTCTGTAGCTCCACAACCTGACCCATGTGACAGACCTCTGTCCAACGTCAGCCAACCAGTGGTGGTCAGCAGCTCAGAGGACGAGACTATTGGTCCAGGGAAACCAGGTTGTAGTGGAAACCCCACAGGTCTCCCCCTGCTGGTGAGAGACTGTTTGTCAGTGAGTGGATCTGAAGATGAAATGGAGGAAGTGATTGGTCAACGAAACAAAGCACTTCATGTTGTAGCGCAGCATCATCACAGAACGGATGTGCGGTCAACTGAGGAGAACTCACAGCTGGATGTGTTGACAGGAAGTAGAGGACGCAGGGAAAGACAAACGGAGCTGCAGAATGAGGAGTCGGGGCAGAGACAGGTCACTGTGGGTTTGGTCCAATCACAGACCGACGCTGCGTCCATCGTTCTGACCGATGAGT